TAAAATGAGTGCACTAAATTGTTATGGATCCTATGGAAAGTATTAAATACGAAATAGCTAATTTTACTAGATATATAGCATTTGATATGTAAGGACGTTTAATACTTGATATTTAAAATTTATATTAATATTTTTTTTTATATAACTCTGCGTAAGTAGCTATTTTTCCCCAAAAATGCGTTCATATTTCATTAAATTATGAAAAAGCAACAAATCTTAATCGTTTTTCACTATTATCAAAATAAAAAATGTCCAAGTTATTATAATAACATCACAATATAATATACCTACAAATTTCAAATTTCAGTCAATTTTACATTATAATGAATTATTAATATATTATTAATGTTATATACTTATATAGGAATAAGAATCTTATTATTCGTTTCACAATTTCATACATATTACAAATAAAATAAGTTAAATTGTACAAAAAAAAAAAAATAATAATAATATTAGTGTCAAAATTWAAAACTTCAACTGCTATTCGACTAAAAATGAATTACTAACATTGTTAGGTACATATCTAAAGAAAATAAATATTAGTAGTTAATATGATATGAATGTATTACCTTGTAAGAATGWATGTATAAGATAGGGACACTAGGAACAATGCAATAGGTAGTGTAATATATAAATGCAACACGACGGATATTTTGTTAGATTAAATATGATATAAAAGATAAAACTTTTGTTCTATTCAATATGCAATAGACATTTTTTGGCACAATGTAAAACTTCTAAGATTTTTTCCACAGTACAAAGAACTAAAATAAAATTGTAAGATGAATTTCTCTTAAAAGGCCTGTTGACAATATTCAAGATTTTTCACCACCATCATTTTGAAGAATATTCAGTAGGTACTTCACGTATTTCAGTATAACGAAGGTTAATTTTTTTCAGAGAATTGTACCAGTACAACCAACGCATATTAACTAAACGTTCCAAGTGAATAACATCTAACTTTTTTTTTTGAATTTCCACAAATAATTCATATTTTGTTTGCCCATTCATCAAAAATTTGTATAGACTTTGAACGACATTGAAAAAATTAGTTATAATTGAAAGGCTTTTAAGAGTGTGTATGAGGTATAGTGCGTGTCTATGGGGGTGGCAAGGTGGGCACCGTCCTCCCAAGTGACTTGATTCTTAGCCTCTTGGCGTATAATCTATCGTGGTTGAAACACAGATTTCTATATGGTKAGTAGTGCTATATAATTTCCATACAAAAATAAAAAGTCACAAATATAGATTATAGAATACAGATCGTTGTAGTAAGTAAAAAATTTAAGTTTTATAAATGGCCTCCTCAGCCATGGAGGCCTGGATATATCTATGATATGAGACAAAGATTTAAACGATGTGGATAACAATGAACATGCAATCGTGAATGACTCATAAAAACTCATCGTTTGGACTAATTTATACATATAATTTGTGCCAAATTTACACTGATCCCTGATTTATCTAATACATCGTTTAAGCAAGCTAATATGTAATAAGTTTTCYTTCTTATTTTTAGTTTTAATTACTGTGAATGATTCAGTTCCATTAGTAGTAGAGATTTGTCAGTTGATTCTTTTGCCCACAGTGAAAATGGGAATATAGCATCATCTGCAATGCAGTTATTTTGTCTGAAAAATTAGAAATATCGGTTGAACGTTGACATCAACTCTGTAAATCCATGCTGATTTTGATCTGAGGGTAATAGCGGTAACCCGAAGAAACATTTCAACCAATTACTAATTTCTGAGTTATTGTTCAAGTAATGCTTTAGTAAATCAGTATTTTGCTCAATTGTTTGCAAGCTGAAAGACACAGCTGATAATTTGGCATGTTAGAAAAACATTTAAGTATTGATTTATGAGCGGCAATTTAAAAATCCAAATAAAATTTAGTAATATTTCATTTAGTAAATTAGTTATTTTTAAATTATAATATAAATTAATTTCATAGCACATTAATTCATATATTACTCACTAAGTATTAATAATTTATAAGTTCGCTCAATACCTAAATTTTAATAAAGTATAGAAAATGCTCTTAAACATAGATTTAGTGTTTATGCATGTACGATCCATTTTCCATATTTACTTTGGAGGAGACATTTTGAAATGATAATAAACAAATAAAATAGACAAACTATAATTAAGTTTATATAAATAATTTTAGGTAAGTATCATAAATTAATTATTTTTTCTTATTTTTGAATTATATATTTAGTATTTATGTATATATATTTAGTATTTATGTAAGTGATATTTTTGTACGGACTTTTCACCCTGAAATCATTAGTTTTTGGTCATGGACCAGTTGTGTCTAAAACAAAATTTGTATTTTAGGTCAGTATACCAATTTTATTATGCTGCTTAAATTTCATTTACATCATAATATTTCATTAAATCGATTTTTCGAAAAACACAAAAATMTCTATTGATTTGCGACCAATATTCTTTATATATCGGGACTTTAATACATCATATTTTTTATTATCAATGCACATTATTAAGTATAAACCCGACGATAACAAGTTTTCATTATTATTAATAATGGTCGTCATCCACCTATTTACTCTCCTAATTGGTTCGTTCCAAACTATATGTCTATATGTAATACCTATAGATATATAGTGTATACCTACGCGATAACACAAATCACAATGTTATATACCATAGATACAAATTTTATATGTACGAATGTACGACATTGTTATTGGTTTGTATATTTATAGAAATTTAACAATCAAAAAGTGTACTAATAAAAACAAAGATATCTTGTTAGCAGTTTAGTATATTTTGAATGTTTGACRTTACAATATAGACCGCTTACAACGAAGTCTGAGCGAAAACAGCAAACTGTTATTGATTATCAATGAATTTAAGTTTCGAAAAATTGGTAAATCAAAAGATGGAATTTAGTGGAGGTATACCGTTAAATCATGTACCTCAAATGTATGTTCTGATGAAAGTTGACTACGCTTTTAACTTCTAACTTAATTCATAAAAAAATGAATATATTAACAGGCAAATTGTTGTTAATATTTTTTAAAAAAAAGCAATAGATCAAATAATAACACAACCACTGAAATTAATTCGAAATGAAGTACGTTGAACTATGTGAATTTCATAAGATGAAGTGTTTATCGTACACGCAGAAATACGTTACCACCATTACCAAAAAACTTACCAGAAATACATGCAACTTTAATTAATTTGGATACAAGTMCAATAAGTACATAATATAAGGGTGAGCATTTATTATTAATAAACGATAATATGTTAACAAATTTAGAATTTTTATGTATTAGTGAAAAAATATTTGTTGGTGGAACTTTTGAATTTTGTTTGAAATATTTTTATCAGCTATTCATGATACGTGTTATAAAAAAAGTCACTATAAACCATTAATGTTTTCTTTGTTGCCTAATAGATTAACAAGTAGGTACCTACCTACAAAATTTCATTTCGAGTTTTGATAAATGAGCCAATTTGAACTTTTATTTTAATCCAAAAACGGTCGTGAGCGCTTTTGAACAAGCAATTAATTTTKCAGTTAAACAAGTTTGGCCTTCAATAATTCTGGTAGGTTGTAGGTTTCATTTATCATAAGCTGGTGGAGCAATATCCAAAAATGTGGACTACAAACTGAGTATAAAAATCCAAATTCTGAAATAGGAAAATAGCATCATTTAGTTTTTGGTTTGTCACTTTTTCTACACGATGAAGTGGAGGATGTGTTTATAGAAAAATTAATGACAATTCAGCCAATGAATTCAAGTGTCACTAATTTCTCTAAGTATATGTATATCGTTGAAAACTATATTTCGTAGCACTTTATATTCCTTCCGATATTGTAGGCATCGAATTTAATAACTGAACGCACAACAAATGCATGTGAAAGTTTTCACGCTTCAGTTTCATAAAATGTTTATTTTTCCCATCTAAAGGCAATTATAGAAACACTACCAATTCTTATATAGTACTGAACAGTACTGAAAAGGATAAATAAACATCAAACCGAGTGTATTAAACGAAAATTGGCAATAGAATCTATTAAAATGACTAACAAAGAATTTTTTTATCAGTTTTTATATGTCATATTGTACCTGCATATTATTGACGATGTAATTGTGTAAATTTTTTTATTAATTGACTGAAAAAATATATTTTAGTAAATAATTTTTAAAATCAGTTCCTTATTATTATTATTATAGTAAAACATAAATYATTGATGTTCATTATTTAATAATGTAATTTTTTTATTTAGGTACTAAAAAAATCTATTTATTAATACATATTTTTGTAAAAGTTTATACTAGGTTTTCTTTATGTAGAATAATATTATAATAGTAATTATTGAGTATGGATTTATAATGTACAAATATTATTAATATTGACGTTCATAGAATATTTTTGAGCGCGGTCTTTTTTTTTTGTTTTTCAATCCGGAGATTGGTTTTTAACAAATGTTGTACAATAAATGACTTCTCCATTTTTCTCTATCATTCGCCATGTTCTTAAGCTCCCTGTAGGAAGTGACTCCTGTTAGACTCCTTCTGGTCTATCGACCCAGAAATGACAGAGTGCAATTGATATATGATATACCGTATATCGACCCAAAAAAGACCGAGCATATTGGTTTATTAAAAGGTTATTTTAAATGGAATTGGTAAACTCCCAATTTTATTTTGCCTTGTCAAATATGACTTCAATAATTTTGGAAACATATCAAACAAATTAAATCGCTTCATGAATAATTTTATGAATGAAAAAAAAAATGTTAAAAATATTGTTTCCCATAACATACAAAAGGACACCAAATAAATCTTATGATGCTTGATGGTATTAGAAAATAGTAATTTGTATTTGTATTAACAGTATTTATACACCTACATAGTTACGAGCAGTAATTTAATTTGTACTCATCATTAAAAYATTAAATTAGATAAACTATTTTAAAATTAATGTAGGTAGTATCTAATATGCGATGTATAGATTCTGTATCCCGGTGTCCAATAACGGATAGATAATTAATATCATAGTAAATAATGATAGATTAATGTGCCACGTATGTGTTAAAACGCAATAAGTACATTTTTTTTGTAATATATTACGTTTGGTTAAGTAAATTCAGTTTTAGGTACTATTATAGAATAGTTAACTCTAAACATATAATTTTGGGTATCTACTTTATTTGTTGAGCCATTGTCTGGGGGTTTCTGTAATTTTTTAAACATGATCCGTTGAAGATTTAATATATTTTCATTAAATACGTCTGCACTTTATATAAATAATTTACTAAACATTAAAATTAAGTTTTAACATTCTTTGTAGTAAATTTTATCTGCTACTTTTCAGATACTAAAAATTTGCCATCTGCAGTTAAAGATAATAATTGTTATCAGCAATTAATGGCCATGGAAATGCAAAGTGACCTTGTACTTCATTACGGTCCCTTTGAATGCGCTGTGTGTTTATGTACATATGATAATAATGGCGTTGTGTTACGTGATTGTTTGCATGTATTTTGTAGGTATGAAAATACGATTTTGTTGTTTCTCCTACTTACACATAGCATGTGTATACTGTATAGATAGTACCTGCTATATTATATTACCTATATTACTAATGTACGGTATACTCAGGGATGGGCAGTAATATATATTCTGTCTGTAACATGTTTGATATTATAAGTTAGATCACTATATGCGTTGCGTTTTGTAACTTRGAACATATTATAATCAGTTAGATACCTACCACGATTTAACATTACCTATACAAGTTACTCAACGCCGTAAAGAAATTGGTCTCCAGAGTGATTCTCACTGATTATTCCAAAAATCAGCTGTTGTCCGCTTTCATGCACATAATTATATACTTAATACTTATATGTCYTATACATYGAAATAAAAAATATATCAACCATGAGCATAAGCTTTATTCTAACTACATTAATTTCTACCTAAGCATTACCTATAGCTGCGCTATTCGCAGCAGACCGTAATCGAAGATAAACACTGGGTATCAAAAATAAAGCTGCGTTCTGTATAGAGTAATCTAACCTAAAACGTGATACCTACCGTCTTACATAATTTCCATATTAAATCATTATAATACCGGATCTTTGCATTTGTCAACAAACCTGAATTCCTATATGATGTGCATTTAATGTAGTTGGCTTTATAACTTAAAAGTATGAAAAAAACCTGCTATGATATCTCCTATTCATGTCAGATTTGGTGATTCGTTTACTTATACACATTTCAATATTGCGATTTTCATTAAAAAATTACTACTAGGTATCTAATTAAGCAGATGKATTCTTATATACGAATAAAGTTCGAGTATAGAAATGAYTGTTAGATAATAAGACATCAACAGAAAATTAATTTTGAATTTAAAATAAAAAAAACTAAAATTTTTTAATGAAAATAAAATTTATAGGTATGTATTGTAACATATTTAATGTCTCAGTTACAATTATTTTTAAATTATTATTTTATCTAGGTTAGGTTAGTACATTGGAGTACCTGTGAAACATTTTTTTTTTTGTGGGGGGGAGGGGCATAAATTAATTGTATAATTTTTCTATGGTTAAAAGTTATAATATAATCTGGAACTATATTATAAATTATTGTTAAATACTTAAAATATGAATCATATACTACATTGATAAGTGATATCAAACACGATTATATAATCAGTGAAAATTAAAAATATTTATTATTTACATTATGTAGCTGGTCAATGAATTTGCATTATGACATAAAAAAAATTTCTCAGGGGGGACAAATTCCCCTGTCCCCCCCCCTATAGATACGCCGCTGTCTGAGTAATAGGTACCTACATGACTAGTATTTTTTTGCTAATGTAGACGTGTTCTTATTTGAGAGTGAATTTACGTTTATATTATTTATTAATTTGTTATCATTTAAAAAATACTTAGGAAATATCTTTTGCGAAGTTATGGTATAKAATAAAATATCTTGAGCAACGTTACTGTTCTTTAAAAACCTTATGTTGCGAAGTTACGGTACTATTTCATAAAATTGCAGCGATTCATGCAGTTACGATCCTTATACAGTAACTTATTGTATTTCATGTTACACCATTTAAATAAATAGCAAGTACAATTCTTTGGAATAGATTAGTACCTACCTACCTATTAGTTATATCATATATAATTTTACTAATTATTATTAAGTTAATAGTAATGAAAGARTCTAAATAAATTAAACTTTTAACAATTACCTAATTACCTTTACCTACATAAAATTTGAGTAACTTGTAACTTGTTTCTGGTTACACTATAAAAAGTACCTATATAATTATTGCTCAGCCCTGGGTATTATATGCATTCTATCAGTGTTGAGAATTGGCTAGATAAAAACTTCACACATTTCATATTGTTTAATAATATATGTCAACACATTTATATGAATTATTTATTATCTAAATACATATTTTGTTAGCTGGTCTCAACACTGCTTATAAATTATRAACGTACCACTTAAGTGGTATACTCAAAGTATAAGAAATAATAAATATGCTCAATGATAAGAATTTTTTGAAGGGTAATATTTAATGTGTGTGAACTTGGCGGCACTTATTTAACAGAATTCAATTAGACCTATCCAACAATTTTTTTGGACGTTTGTTGGAAATTGTTGGAAAGTAGGTATTTATTATTTGTTGGACAGCCGTTAAAAAATTATGAGCAATTTTCCAAAACCTAAGCTAAGTTCACATCAACGGCCAACACTAAATCAAACAAATAAAAATATATTCAAAAATGTTTAAAATGGTTTGTTGGCCGTTGTTGGAAAGATCTCATCATTTGTTGGACCTCCATTTATTTTATACAATTTTTTAAAAAGTGCCGCCTACTTCACACCAGCGGCCTTCTTTCACCAAAAACTCCAAAAACCATCCAATTCTGTTTCTAACGGTTTGTTGGACGTTGTTGGACCTCTATTTATTTTTTGAGTTACTGACTAACTCTTTTTATATATTTAAATTTATTAAAAACAAAGTATAAAATTATAATATAAAGTATATAGTTTTAAAATTGAAAACCTTGTTTATTTTTAAGACATCTCCTAATCAATACTATCATGCAGGATGCTTAAAATAATTTAAATATTGACAAAAAAAAAAAAAAAACATTATATTTCTACGACAAATATTAAATAAAAATATTAAAAAAAAAAAAAAAAATAATAGTGAAAATAACATAGTGTTGTTTTTATAAAATTCATATATACTGCCAAGTTCACAAATATTAATATTTAATTTTTATGTATGCAATCAACAATAAACTTTAAATGACATCACCTGTTTACATTTAATCTTATACAATGCAGTATAGAAAAAACAAAAGGCGATGCACATTGCACATGCATAAACTAGGATGAAAACACGGTTCAAGTTGAGCATATTTCATATTTTTTATACTACGAGTATATTTTAATTTAATTTAGTATAATTATCATGTCTTCATATTTAATTTACGGTAAGTTCGACGTTTTTTTTTTATTCAGACTTTGTCTAAAAATGACAATCGATCATTCGAATGCTGAACAAGTTGAATGTCCGTATATAGATGAGCGGTATTCTTGTACGGGGGTTTTGCAACATCGTGAAATAAAAAAGGTACCTAGTATCTTTTTATTCTACATGAAGTTTATTAAATTATTTTTTGTGTTATGCATAGATATTGGATTCGGATGAAGAATATGAAAATTTTTTGCAAAGGTCAGTGGAACGAGCCAGACAGTTGTTGGCGAAAGAGCAAAACGGCGGATCTTTTCAGTGCAGTCGACCTGATTGTACGGGTTGGTGTTTGATCTATGATAAGAATGACGTCTTGGATTTTAAGTGCCCCGTTTGTGGGACAGTAACGTGTGTTCGGTGTGGTGTAAGTACTAAGTWATTAATAATTATGAGCTTATCTAGTATTCCGAKAATCAACCAGGGAAATCGCCTCATACTAGTTGCTAAAAAATTCCTTTGGTCATAAATTTTGATATAACTGCAGTGCTGTGAGTGAGTGAACATGAATTTTTGATTTAAATGTACTGATATCGAATGTAAAGTCAATATGAATAATTCTATCGGGAGCATTTGATATTAAACATTTTTTGAGTGATGAAATTACTATAAATAATATGTGTATCTATTGAGCTGTTTCCCAAAATTGTTGGTCACATATTATTATCTTATCATTTAAATGATATACCTACCGTTTACTTTTATTTTTCAAAAAATGTRTTATTAATTATTTTTAATTAGTCTATTGACTCCTGACTAGGTATAACTGTTTTTACGCAAGATAGTAATATTTTTCTAAACTTAGGTATCAATTTCTTACTATTTAATTGGTACCTAGCTTGTCCTATAAATAAACTAAAAGTAATGAAATAATTGTCCGGAATTCAAATGTCAGCTTCTTGTCCAAAACTTGAATGATTTTCATTACTTATCTTGCAATTAATACCAAATAACACTTTTAAAAAATTATCAGTTATTTTCCCAAATGGTTTGTCTTTCCCCTTTCTTTCCCAATGATTGTGCTGTAGTTMTATTGATATAGGTACATGCGTTTCACAAAATTAGAGACTCCTGTAGTTGTGTTGCAGTTGGTGAATTTACCAAGTGTCTTGATTTCTCAAGTTTACTTTCAAATAAAAACAAACGTGACTAATAAATGTTATCACACACAGTGGTTGGAAAAATTATTTTTAAAAATGCAAAGGTCAACAGTTGTTTGATGGTTTATCACCGCATYATTTTTAAATCGTMACGGTTTTTACTGTTTTTAGACACACATTTAGCGGGATTGGTAAATTGAGTCCCGGAAAGAATAAGGTAGTAGGTAATTTGAGTCCCGGGGAAAAACGATTTATATGCATTTGAAATTTAAAAATATGCACTATAAATTTTTTATTTGTGATTTGTGGACATTCATTGACTGCATGTATATGTTTTTGAAAAAAGCAACATGCATTTTTATTAATTATATAATTATTTTTTCCCCCCAACGATAAAATAACGATACACTCTGGTTACACTTAACAATACCAAAACACTCACAGTCAATAAAATTCTTTAACTTTATAAAATCGTACCTTTGATTAAACGCAATTAAGATACCGAGAAGTAGGGCTTGTTCTTACGTATATATTATATATACGTATATTACGGTATCTTAAATAAAATGGAATGTATAATAATATAATGTACCTAATGTATAATAATAATGACATTTTTTTTTTATTTTTTATATTAATTTATATTTTTAATATTTTTAATCAATATAAATCTAAATATCATATCCTTATAAAAATAGCTTAACATAAGTCAAAATATTTACTTACTACCAATTTTTTTCCGGGACTCAACTTTCCTACTATCTATTTTTTCCGGTACTCGATTTACCCCTATCAAAATATACCAAACTTATCTCAGACTCAATTTACCTAGCCCCCATTTAGGAAACCCTAACGAAAAATTTTCCACCGAAAGCACTAATGTGGAGTAAAATTTATCACTATTGACACAGATGAACGTAGAGAACATATAGAATAATGAATTAATTTTAATTTTTTTATTAGTTACTATAAGTTAACTATAGTTTTTTTTTTCATTACAACACTAAAAAATGTAGGTATGGTTAGGTTAGACAAATATATTTTTCTAAAATATTGATTTTGTTGGGATATCATTCAATGTGTACTTCAAAAAAATTGAAATTTAATATTTGAGATTATTTGTTTGTTTATGTTAGGGTATATTAGCGCTCAACAAAGTTTTATACAAATGTTTTGAAAATATAGACTTTTTAGAATTAATTGATACACTAGCTGTGAGCAATCGTTGTTATTTTAAATTTGAATTTTCTAAGCGGTTCATTAATCACTCATGTTTGCTTATTCTTAAGTGTGGTATAACTGTAAATCTTTCTTGCCATTGACTATTGTCTCACGAATTGTACAAAATAAATTATCCATCTGCAGAAAAAACATTTTCMCCTTATATCAGTTTAATTAATTAAATGAATATTTTAATATAAAATTTGTTTTCTACTCAATTTTTGTAACTCAATTTAATGTTACTTACTTACCATTTTTATAAAAATGTGTTCATAAACCTATAAGTATTTTTATCTGACAAAGAGAAATGTTTTATACCTATTTTAATTATTTCAGTCAATTCACATAGAAGGAAAAGGATGTAAAAAGTTCATAGAAAAAAATGACTGCGATGGCACGCTCGAGGTAAATCCATTTCAACTACCTACTTATATTTAAAAGCTTTTAAATTGTATCTATGAAATTTTTTTACTCAAAGAGTCTTATAAAACGTGGAGATGCTATGCCATGTCCAGGATGTAGCACAATTCTGTCAAAGCAGCAAGGCTGTGATTGGATTAAATGTTCCGTATGTTTTATGGAGATTTGCTGGGCAACTAAAGGTCCTAGATGGGGACCTAAAGTAAGTTCAAATTAAAAAATTCTTTACACATAATTAACTAGGTATGTTATATATTGATAAAATAGTAAGATGAAGAAAACACATGTGGATATAACGCATGTTAAATGTAAAAAAATCATTTTTGATTCTTATGGACAATAATATTTTTATAACGTTTAAGTTTTTTATAACAATTAGTCCAAAACATAACACTTTTACAACTTTTTAATTCTGAAAAAGGTGGATAAATTAGTATCGTTTGTCGAGTAATTCGATAAAATTGCAATCAAAGATAAATCATTACATAAGAAAAATGATTCTGAGCGTAGACGTTGTGTCATCCTATCAAACTGCTATAAATATTCAAATTTAATAATTAAAAAAAAAAAATCTAATAAAATATCTAAATATCTCATATTCTCGTGGCTTTAAAATGAGTAACTTTTTTTGATAGATGTAGAAAAACTTATTAAGAAATCTTCTACTAAATTTTCTGATGTAAGCTATAAAAAGAAAAAAATGTTATACCATTAACTTTAACTAAAAATATGTCTTAATATACGAGTACAAATTATTTATTTTAGGGAAAAGGAGATACTACAGCAGGATGTATGTGTGGCATACCAGCCGGAAGAAAATGTCACATTGATTGTAAATATTGCCATTAGGCATTAAATGGATTTATGTGTATATTGTACCTATACATTAATAAAAATGATTTAATGCAGTGCTTGAAAAATCCATTTAAAAAGTTATTAACTACCTTATAAAAAAGAAACTTCGTTCATTTATCTTTTAGTCTAAAAGAAGTTAATTAGTATTTTCTTCATTCCTACATGGGAACTTATTTTTTACGTATTTAATTTTTCCTTTTGAAATATATGAATTAAATATTAAAAAACGACGTTTATTTGTTTAGTTAAGTTTTTTATGAAAATTTCTAATTTGTAATCATTGTGTTTATATAGTTCTTGGTTAGTTTAAGTAAATATTTTATTAATTTAATGATATTATGATTTGACGTTTTTATATTTTATTACAGCAACCTAAAATACCAAATTTAAGAATAAAATGTAATTATTTTTCTTTTAACTAAATCAATATAAAAATAACAACTTAAAGCATTAATATTTTTTGATATAAGTAAAATAGCATAATTATGTTATAATTTATCAGATTATAAATAACCTTTTCATAGAATTTTTAGTGAATATTAACTTGCTTGTACCTAATATATACTTACATTCGTAGTTTTAATAAATGAAATTAAATAAATCCCAATATTTATTATCTTTAAAGCCTTGAAGTTATATATTATCAAGGTTATTCATAGGTGAATATGTTTGCCTACGTATATACATTTGAAAGTCTAACCTTTTTTCCAATCTTAGTAAATTTGCACATATAGACGCTTTATGATAAATATTTTACTACTCTGTTAAAACATTATTTTCTTCAAATAATATTATTTTTTTTAAACTCAATTATATATCATAATATATTATTTAATAATTTAACTTTTCTTAAACCTGCTTTAGCATAAACAATGTTATAATAGTTCTCTAAGTTTAAATTATTAAGTATCTATGACTGAATAATACGTAGCTACTGATAAATAGTACTTTAGCTCTGAATGTAGCTAATTACTTTAAGCATTAGAAATGTTTGAAACAGTTAGTACCTATTTTAATATGTATGTAAATGTGTTACCTTAAATATTATAGTAGATATGTAAATTTCAAGACTTTAATCTTATAAATATTATTTATGTAATTCAAACAAATTGTTGTTGGAAGAAATCAAACATTTTAAAATTTAAATTGACCCATATTTTGATACTATATTAAAAGTTAGTATTTTAAACTCAGTTTTGTTACGTACGTGAAGTTGACCCACCCACTTTGGAGTAGCGACTTAAAATCTTCACCAATATTTTGCGAGTTCACTTTTAGAATTCGCGAGTTAGCCGTTTATGAGCAGCAAGCAAAATAAAAATGGGTGGGCCAAATTCATGGAGCCCACCCATGTTGTCCTAAAACTTTGAAATTGGTATCAAATGATAGCCTTTAATTTGCGAGAATTTGCGAGTCCACTTTCAGAATTTGCGAGTCGACCATTTACCCACAAAACCCAYTTTTTGACCGTGAASTTGGYCCACCCATGTTGTCCTAAAACTTTGAAATTGGTATCAAACGATAGCCTCTAATTTGCGAGAATTTGCGGGTAAGCCGTTTGCGAAATATTAATGGGTTAGATTACAAAAATATAATTTGTTATTACGTACCAAGATTGCATTTTTCTCTTTTATATCTTCACAATTTCACATAATATATAAAAATAAAATTTCATGTTTGAGGATTTGGTGTTGATATAATTTTTGTGATCTAAAAAATGTATCTGTTTCCTTAAAACATATTTTATTTTATTGATAACATTGCTTTAACACTACTTACGTTATTTTAATTAAAAACATACATAATTTTTAAAAATGTATATAGTATAAACTGGTAGGTACATTCCAATTGAACGCCGATTCGTATATCATCGTAGAAATGATCACTTGATGTATTTAATTAAAATGTTGTTTATTTCATTTAATACAAAAACACAATTATGGTTAAAATAATGAGGTGAGCGGTTTTTTTACCTGACTCAGAAATGTATATTGCTAAGACTGTGAGTGGTGTTACGACCTGCCTCCAAGTGTCTTGTTTAGCCTTATTTGCTTAATCGTCTGACGAGCTCTTGTCTCGGTCTCTTTTATATATATGATTCGATCCTTAGAAGTGGTGCTTGTATTGGTGGTGACTTTCCTGCTACATGTCGAAATTTGGGTCTTGTGATTAAACTTAGGATGCTGACCGTTTCGTATCCTTTCACATGGGTCTATAGTCATTTCTGAGAAGAGACGTGTGAAAATACTTGTATAGTCTGATTAATTGTATAGATATCCTATTCTCCACGTTCCTATCACAAATGCATGCTATCTCGTACATATTTTATAGGTACGTAACACATCCCTTCCAAAAAGAAGATTGCATATTTAAAATATTTAAATATGAATCTTAAAATTACATTCATACATGCATGATGGTTATTAGTGTTATTACAATAGTTTACAATGTCTGCAATGTCTGTACAATATTTGGTTGATAATTGGTTAGTAATTGATAGGTACAATTTTTTTTTTTTACACTGTATTCTTTATCTTTGTGTTATTACAATATGGTGGTTAATATAACAAATTAATTAGAACAATAATTTATAGAATAATTTTTACATTGTAAAATGTTACACTCCAAGTTAATTTTGACGATTACTTCGAACTTATTAACTTACAAATTTCAAAATTCAACTTACAAATACTTACAAATTGAGCTTTTAAACTTACAATTTACCCGGTTTAATTTGGACATAATAGGTGGGYACACGTCGATTTTTGATTGACTGTAAATGAACAAAACAAATTTTGATGAAAACACTTAGTAGTTAGTACAATATATTAATACATAATATAATATAATTGTCGACTATATTGGATTTTTAAAAATGTGCGTCGTTATGGCATAATATAAACTAGTACAATAATATGGAGGTATTTAATATAATATGTAAATATTTTTGTTGTGTTTTTAGGTTAGGTAATAGAATTAAGTGATAGACAACTAGGTACGTATAACAATTTTGTGAATCTTGCAAATTTTTTTTTTAAAGGATTTAAAAAAGATTTACTTAAAAGGGGGAAAAGTAAAAAATACTATTGATAAAAAAAAATGTGACAAAGTATAAGGTAATCATATGGTTATATTTTACACGGTTATAACTTATAAGTAAATGTTGTGTTTTAAACAACATGAATAAAATAATATAACATTGGGTACATGGCAATTACAATTCAAAAAATATATAATAATTTGGCACATAGCAAAGTGCATAAAATACAGGGGAAAAAATATATAATAATTTGGCACATGGCAATTACAAAGGAAATGTAATGGATAAAAATAAAAATAATCATGCTACGGCTCCGGCAAGCGGTTACCGAGCACATAATGATCATCATAATATGTCGGTATGACATACATCTAACATATTATACATTTATATTTATAAAAGGAAACGACCCTGCACGGCTCCGCATGATGGTTACCGGGGCACCTCTTAGGAAAATCGGAGCATACATAAAAAAGAAATGATGGTGATGCATAATCAGAATGAAAGAAAAAAGGGAAATGTTGGGGGAAAAATAA